TACTGTGGGGGAGGGACATACAAAGCATCAAAGAAATAATCTTATAAATGTGTTAGAAACAATCGCATGAAAGAAAAAAAAACATTTGAATACATATCTTAGGGTTCATTTCCCTAATATCACCTTATCTGACCTTTTCTGCTTGACTCAGACAAATACTAGATATTGCAAATAAGGGAAACCATGGGACCTATGTCTTCTGTGTGGCTATTTGTGATAGCAGCATTAGACACTCTCTCTCTCTCTCACCTCTCACTCTCTCTGGCCTTGGGTGACATCTGGGCATTCTCTTCAGGGCTGAAGAAATGAGATAAGGATGGCAATGCAATGCCAATTAGATTTACTAATTGGAAGTTTAGGTCAAGATGTTCTGGCTATTTTCATACAGAAGCTGTACCCTCTGAATTTGCTTTTAGAACACAGCCAACAGTAAAAAAAAAAAATAAAAAATCTCCACTTAGAAAGTAGACCATGAAGCCTGGGGCTGGTGGCTCATACCTGTAATCCTAGCCACTTAGGAGGCTGACATCTGAAGACTGCAGTTTGAAGCCAACCCAGGCAAGAAAGTCTGTGAGATGCTTATCTTCAATTAAGCATGCGCGCGCGCGCACGCACACACACACGCACTGCACGTGCGTGCACACACACAAAGATGGAAGTAGAGCTGTGACTCAAGAAGTAGAGAATTAATTAGCCTTACACCAAAAATGTTCTGGGACGGTGCCCAAGGCTCTGAGTGCAAACCCCAGGACCAGTACAAAAAAAATTTTTAATACAAATAAAAATAAAGAAAGTAAATCCTGAATCAGAGTGGTGACAATATCTTCAAAGACTGAACCTGGTTATGAGAGAGTACAGAGAGCTTTTTAAATGCTGATGTGTTATTATCTTCTCAGACAGAAGACGAAGAACAACCTGGGGAACAGGCTCATTTTCCTCCCCCTCCCCCACTCCAGTTCAGCTTCACTCAAGTCTGCTTCAGTTAAGCTGTTAGACCCAAAATCCTTTACAAAAGAAAAGGAGTTTTCCCATGGTTTAGCATAGCCTGCCAGAGGTATTAAGCAACAACTCAATGTGAAACCCAGTAGCCATTTTTAGCTAGTTTTTTAAAAGGCATCAGCAACAGTGTGGCAAGATGCACAACTTACAGGCCATTGTGTGATAAATACTGGGCCAGTACTGGCCACTGTCTCTCTTCAGCCATACTCGGATGGTTCTGTGGAGAAAAGGAAAAAGTACTTAGTAATTTGTGTTCCAGGAAAACTTCCATTTTTCACTTTTAAAAACATTTTCAGTACATTTTCCTAATTGATCTCATAAAGTTAATCAATTGAGCAAAATTGATTAATACATGTTTATAGCATATTGAATAAGTACAGTATCTACACAGATTATACAGTTATATCTCATGCAATGGTAAGCTATGTAGTACCTTTTTTTTTTTTTAATTGTCGGTTGTGGGCCTGAACTCTGGGCCTGGAGGCTGTCCCTGAGCTCTTCTGTTCAAGGCTAGCACTCTACCACTTGAGCCACAGCATTCCAGCTTCTTCTGCTTATGTGATGCTGAGGACGTGAACCCAGGGCCTCATGCATGCAAGGCAAGCACTGTACCACTGAGCCACCTTCCCAGCCCTATGTAGTACCCTTGAAGCCAGACAGACTAGGGGAAAATGAAGTATGATCAGCCTACAGCAAATACAGGAGATATTTCTTCATATACTTCCCTTAAGATTAAGGGAATAGGCTGCGGGGAGGACGGGAAAAAAAAGACTAAGGGAATAAAGTCATTTTAGGGGAAAATGAAGCAGACAGACAAAGAGAAAATGAGGTAAGATAAGCTCACAGCAAATATATTCCCTGAAGTTTAAGGGACCAAAGTCATTTAAGGAGAAAATGAAACTGGATAATTTAAGGAAACTGAGACCCGGTGAAGGCAACTCAGAAATAAGGTATGTTAGAAACACAGAAGTGCCTTCTTTGCTTCAAAGAGACTGCATCCCCTCATCCCAAGAATTAATACTTGTCTGACAGGATGTATACCTTCCTGAAACAATGACTTCCCCAAAACTTAAGCAACCTCCTGCCCCAAACGCAGATAAAAGGGTGCCCCATATCTCAAGGGTAAGGATCCATTTGTGGCAGGATGTGTTCTTATCTGGAAACTCAAAAATAATACCAGGTGTGATTAAAGCAAAGACTTAACACCTACCTTTGTGCAACTTTGAAGCCAGACGCCCTGTCTTTACCATAGAAATACCCCTGGAGTGAAAAAGCTGTGTCTCTCTCCTTTATAACACCCACATTCTTGTTAGTGTGTCTCTGCCTTTCTGTTTGCTTGCTCGCTTGCTTAATCAAATAAAGCTCTGCCAAGTTTTCTTATCACCAGTGACTTGTCCAGAAATTCTTATTCTGCAATCGAAGTCAAGGACCCTAAGTGAAGAGTCCTCATATCTAAAGGGAACTTTACTAACCCTCATCTGCATCCAGTGACACCTAGAGGTCAAATAATTAGGGGAGAGGGGTGCCAGTACTGGGGCTTGAATTCAGGGTTCAAAGCTCTTACTTGAGCTTTTTTACTCAAGGCTGGTGCTCTACCACTTAGGCCATACCTCTGTGAGCTTTTTGCTATTTAATTGGAGGTAAGAGTCTCACAGAGCCGGGTGCTGGTGGCTCACGCCTGTAATCCTAGCTACAAAGGAGGCTGAGATCTGAGGATCCAGGTTCAAAGCCAGCCCGGGCAGGAGAGACCGTGAGACTCCTATCTCCAATAAACCACCAGAAAACTGGAAGTGGCGCTGTAGCTCAAGTGGTAGAGCACTCGCCTTGAGCTGAAGAGCTGAGGGACAGCGCCCAGGCCCAGAGTTCAAGCCCCACGACCAACAAAAAAAAAAGAGTCTCACAGACTTTGCTGCATGGACTAGCTTTGAACTGTGATCCTCAGATCTCAGCTTCCCTGGGTTTTGAGGTATGGCTTAGGTAGTAGAGCACTAGCCAGCGAGCAAAAGTGTCAAGTCCTGGTTGGAGTCCTGGTTTACAACAACAACAACAAAAAAATCTCAGTCTCTTGAGTAGCCAGAATTACAGGTGTGAACCACCAATGTCTACCTTCAAATAATTCTAATATATAAAAATGTTTATAATCTAATGATACACAAAGAAAATTGGAACCAATCAACTACTTTTCCTTGGTAAAGTGTGTGAACTCAGCCAACAGAGCAGTAGACACAAAAAGAAAACACTCATAAAGAGTCCATTAAGCATCAGAAAAGAAGAGAGACATGTCCTGCAACATAGCTCCTCTCCCCACAGTCCTCAGCCTGCAGTCCTGGGAGGAAATTACCCCACGCCGCGTCTCTGGCCCCTCTTTACCAGCACTCCCACAGGACCATGAGGAAATCCTGTACATGTGCAGGAAAATGACAAACCAAGAAACAACCAGCATTTAACATGTGGCTTTATTGCAAAAGAAGAGAACAAAGATGGCAAAGCCAGGCACTGTGCAGTCCACATCCCGTAGCCCATGCTTCCTCCTCTGTCTACCCAGGACATTCCAATTCTGCTACTGCTCCCCTGCTCTGCCTCAGCCTCTGCCTCTGTCTTATTCTTACCCAAGTCAACACTGCACAAGCATGTCTTTATTTCTAATAGAAACTCAGCTTTGGCCACAGTAGGTAGTGATGGTTACAGCCAGAAGCTGGTTACTCAGGAGACTGAAATCTGAGGACTGAGGATTGAAGCCAGCCTAAGCAGGAAAGTCTGTGAGAATCTTATTATTTCCAATTAACATCTAAAGTAGAGCTGTGGCTCAAGTGGTAGAGCACTTTGAGTGAAAAAACTAAGGGACTGTGCCTAGACCCCAAGTTTGAACCCCAGTACTGGTGTACACACATACACATACACACACACACATACACACACACACACAAAAAACAGACAAAATGATTACTGTTGTGAACTAAAATCCATCAACACTAAGTGATGATATACATGTTCCATCTTTGGGGATTTTTATTCTTAGTTCAAGACAAGTAAAACATGTCTGTAGGGATGAAAATCAGAATAGAAGCTTATTCTTGGGAGAGTAGGACAGACAAAGAGCCAGAGGGAACCTAAAGGGGAACAGAGAGGCTCTGAGTTTGTTAGACTAATAGGCTCCTTTCCCATGTTCCTTTCCTTCCCAGCAGGCATTATTCCCAGAGTGACCAACACTAGGCCTATTTACTGCAGACAATAAATAATCGCTTTCCTTCCCCTTTCCCCCTCCATTGGGTGAGTTACAACCATAAAGGTAATAGGACCTCTTAAAGTGACCTTCAGACTGCCCAGCTGCAAGCCTCTTATCTACTAATTGGGCAGCTGCCATAAATCCTGGCCTACCATGATGAAGTCCTGGGCCCACAGCTAGGTCCCTACCTCCTAGCCCCTCTAGACTATAAGTAGTCACCTCAGATAAAGACAGGCACTTCCTCTCCCTGTGAGAACTGGTCTTGTCAGTCCCTGCTGGCAATAAACCTTTCTTTCTTTGTTCTGCATGACTGTGTCCATGTGGTTTTCTGGGCTGGTGCTTACAGAGTTGACACCTCTGACCTGTCCAACTACACGCAAGACCTGAACAGGCTACTGAAGGTGACCTCAGTGATCCAGGGTACCAGTGTCTGCATGCTATTCTATACAAGTTAGCTAACCGCCTTAGGGGCCATGTCATGTGACCAGAGGACAGGGAACCTGTTAACACCACAACTAGAGTAATTGCAGATGCTCTACAATCAAATGACATATTATTTTCTTCTACAGATAATTTGGACAGAAATTAAAAAGAGAGATGGAGAACAAGCCTATGATTCAATAGGTCTAAGCAACACTTCCTCACAATGTGCAGGTGTATTTATACCTTGATTCAAACAAGTGGTAATATATATACATATATTGATACATGTAGTTTTATTATACTATGTAATATTCTATACTATATATACAATATATTACATAACTAATATTATTGTATGTAATAGATCTTAATATGAAACTACCAGTAATACAAACATCTGACATACTAAAAATCATTGCTCATTTCTTTGAGTGTAATAGTGGTGTTTCTGCTTTTGTTGCTGTTGTTGTTTCTGTTGGTTGTGGGGCTTAAACTCTGGGCCTGGGCGCTGTCTCCTTAGCTCTTCAGCTCAAGGCAAGTGCTCTACCATTTCAGCCACAGCACCACTTCCAGTTTTCTAATGGTTTACTGGAAATAACAGTCTCATGGACTTTCCTTGCTAGAGCTAGCTTTGAACCATGATCCTCAGATCTCAGCCTCCTGAGTAGCTAGGATTACAGGTGGGAGCCACCAGTGCCTGGATTGGCTGCTGCTTGGTTTTTTAAGAAACAATAATTCCTAAATAGCACACAGTTATCTGCAGCATCACCACCACAAGTGAGCCCTCATAACTCACATCCTGGGCTGCCTGCTCTTGAGTTATCTTCCAGCCACTTGCCCCACACCAAGCCACCTGCAGTTTATCCTGCAGCTCATCTCCCATGGAGTCACACTGAGCACCCTGCTCCTGTGCCTCAGGATCAACCAGGGGTTATATTAGATCCACGATTCACTGGCAAATTTGATCCCTGTGACTTCTGCATCCCATTGAGCTGTCATCCTTACGACCTCCCTCCCCCACCAAACATCATCTCAAGATATGCCTTAACCCAGTCTCCTTCAAAATTCTACCAAGAGCTCCTCTCTAGCTGCTTCTCTAGACAGACAGCAAGACAGATGCTATTTTACCACAACTACTTCATGTGAAAGAATCCATTGTAAGCTTCTAAACATGATCTATCTACTACAAGGATCTTGACCACAGTCTATGCCACTTCAACCAGAATGCTTATGGGCATATTTCCAGACAGGGGAGGAAGCCAAAAGAGATGTTGCAGGTGAAAGGCCAGCTCCATGTAGGCATTAGATCTGCTCAAGGATTCTCCTGCACTTCCAAATCTACAGGAACAGGGTCCGAAGTCCTAAAAGATTAAGACTCCCTCCATGCAGTGCCCTCAAGCTCACTGGCTTCGTTTGTACCAGGATCACCAAAGGGTTAAACCTGAAAGCTATCTACCTCATAGGTATTTTAAGTCAAAGGAAAAAGAAAATGCTGACACATTCTAAAACTCTTCAATCCCAAAAGTCTGGGTCATAAAAGTGAGGGCCTCTCAAAGAATTTAGTGATA